ATATATATATATATATATATAGTGTAGTTCAGTGATGTAAAAATGCAGTTATTGTGTTGTTCTGCAGAGAGCATGCATGGCAAGGGGCATTGTTGATTCCAAAAAAATATGACAGCTAATGTAAATGTCTATATATGAATTGCATAACATTCAGCTCTAAATTGTGACAGATATCGCACATTAAGCTACACCTACTAGTGACCCTTCCAACAAGACAACGGAGACAAACAAACAAAGGTTAGCTTACTTGTTCTCAGAAAAATTGTAGAATGTTGATGGAGCTGGGGTCTGCAGACAGTTTTAAACATGTGACTGTAAAATATGGATATTTGTTTAATCGGTGACATTTTAAACAGAATCTACTTGATAACAGGAGAAACACAATACACAACTGATTTGGAGAATCCTACAAATCCAGCTGATGCAATAAAGAGAGCACAAGGAGAACAGTTGGACACTCAGTAAGGTTGCTGTTTAACACTGTAGAAAAGCCAGCCACCCCTCCAGTTTAACTGTTAACTGTGGTTAACCCAGAATGCAAACTGTGTTGCCAGCGCAGCCCTAATTTGCCACAGTTATATTGGGCCTCTATATAAAAGGTCAAAATTTTGGAATAACCTAATGTAATCAGGTCTGATTGCACATTACCGTTCATAGATTTTTTTATTTTACAGTGTTGTGCAGAAGTGAGAGACCACGCTTTTATTTATTCAGTTGCCCATCAAAATGGCCGTTCAGTACAAGATATTCATTTTTCAGCGTCAGAGAAAAAGTGCAAAACATCATTACAAAAATACAGAAGCCTTAGCAACTGAATATGATTTTTAAAAATCCACTCTGTCTTTATTACAGCTTCAGGTTTTTTTCAGGACACTTAGCTTTTCAAAGATATCTGCAGGTACATTTTTCCACACCTCTAAAGTTCAGTCTTAGAAGTTGATTGCATTTTATGCTTATTTTGTTCCAATAATCCTAAACATATTCAGTGATGTCTGGACTCTGAGGTGTCTGGTCCATTTTTTTGAGAACCGGAGAAACTTATATAACTTCTTTAAGGGAAGTTTATGTTTTAATAAGTATATCTTGGTCATCTCAGCAGTGTGCTTGTTCATTATCTTCTGAATGATCATCTCAGTCAGACATTTATTATTACCATGCAAATGTTTGGGTGCTTGAGAATGATAGTTAAAGGGTTATTTATCTGTGGAGTAGGTTTTTTTTTTTTTTGCTCAACAAAATCACGAATAGTAGAATAGATGAACGTTCATTATTTTACGTACGTTTACTAATTATTTTAGTTTTTAAACATTTCCAACCCTCTCCTCGTGGCAGCCCAGAATTATTTGCAGTCATTATGAAATACCTGGCAAATCAGAGCTTAAACAGAACTAAAGTGTGAAATTGCTTGTAACTTCCATATGTAAATCGTTTAATCTTTTGGGTATGTCTACAGCTAAATTGGCTTAATGTTAAACATTGATTCCAGATTTATGAGAGCTAGTGCCTGTTTTGGTGGTGTTTGATTCTGCATCTTAAAACACATTCAAACGGTTTGCTCAGTTTTCATGACTGAGAAATATGTAATATAAGTAGAACTACATTTCGTTTTGTCATTTTGTCAGAGACACAAATAAATATGCAGTCCTTAGTTTTAAACATTTAAAGTGGAGAGTTTAGAGGTTCAGAGAGAATGTGTGATCATATTCATGAGCTTGGGTGGTGCAGCTTTCTGAGGTTTTGGGGTTTTTTTTCTTTGCAAAGAGCCAGAGTCAAGACCAAAATGACGCCATGGCCGTGACACGTCCACGCATGCTTGATTTTACACACTGAAAGAACACGTTCCAGCACGGACATGCAGATTTTTTAGAGCATTTAAGTGTTACACAGAAGCTCAGACTGTCTACCCATCAAAAAATGAAACGTTAGATTTAAGTAGTTTAAATAACACAGCTGTGATCATGCTGAAGACTGCAGAAGGTTAAAGAACAGATAAGATAAAAAAAAAATGTTATCATTGTGATAGAAAGGTTAAAGTGTGAGCGATAAGGAGAAACAAATCATTGAAAGCACATTTTCTCACCTTTGAAACATGGTGGTTTAGTGTCATGGTTTAGCAGCAAATAGCAGCGTGGTTTTTGTACACTTTCAAATATAGTAGTAAAGATGGCTGCAGTACACTGTCTTTAGAAATGTAGGTTAAAAAACAAAGTTCAACCATTTACTATGCAAATCTCTCTGTCTTCATTTAGTGCCACTATGCGCTGCAAAAGTGGTTTGTTCCACCTAGAAAATTGATCTGGTAACAAGCAGTTGTTTTTTCTGGTTTCGTTCAAGTAAGTATTTTGAATAAAACAATACAGAGCAAATTTTTAGTTTAGATGTACGATGCATCATGTCATACCTCAAAAACACTTCAGTTTCTTCCTGGCTCTTCTTTTGCAGTGTATTCGGCAGCAACAGAGATGTTCATTTTTTTGCCCCCCAATTCGATCTGCATACTTTATAATGTTGAGGATTGGCCGATAGCGGGTCCAATCAGATCTTTTTATTTACAAAAATACTACAGCCACACAATTTAGGTATGGTATGTTAAGCTTTTTCTATGATTAAGATTTTTTTTATATGCATAATGTGACATTCTGGACTGGTATGTTTTGTTTTTTTTGTTTGTTTTTTGGTTATTTTGTTTGTTTTGTTTTTTGATGGCTATAGTGTTTGTGATACTGACTCAACCAATTTGTCTGACTGCTGAAAGTCAGAAGTCAAAATACAACTCATTTATTTATTACCACTTTAAAACAGCCCTTCGGTACAGGTTATGCATGTTTTAGCATCAGGAAAAAACATAAAACATAACAGGAAACACAGAACTAAAAACAAGCTCCAAAAACTAAATATAATGGCAAATATTTTCAGCATTTTGTCCAGCGGTCGCCCTTATTACTTCCTGTCTTTTCAGGAGACTTGCTTTCAGTTTCTCATAGACATCAGTAGAGATATTATTCTGCACTTGCAACGTTCAGCCTTAGAATTTGGTGGCGTTTTGTCCATGCTTCTGGTGACCGGCCACTCACAGTAAGCAGCAGGAAAAAAGACCCGAAGTAAAATAGCCGCACCCTCACATTTTACATACCCATATTTTGACAAAATCAGTTGTCCAAATGCAGTCCAGACACTAGCAGTTCAGATATTTCAGGTTTTCATTTTCTTCTTTAGAATACTTTCGCACTGTAGATGTTTTCTTGGGTTTTTCCACCGCACGTTCAAAAACAGGAACTGCGCCAAACAGGAACAGAATCTGAGGTTCTGCTTCATTTCTATCCTGCTTAAGAGGTGACTGGAATGGTCATAGTGACAGCATTTAGTGGGAGTACAACATGCTTACGTTAGCATCACATGTCTAAGAATTATGTAATACTATGCCAAAATATTTCTGTGTAGACACATTTTCAGACACATTTTCATGTAGAGTAGTGACAGATGAAAGGTATGTTGTTTAGGTTTTATCAACATTTAATTAAGTTTAAGACTTTAAAATCTGATGTACAATAGTAAAAGAATCTTGTAAATTACACACAGCTTTGAGTAGGTGCTGAACAGTTAAACAGGGTTGTGAGTATGGAAATGAAAATTTGCTTGTGGCGCATTGACAAAAACGTTTGATATGTGCAGTAAAAAGCAGAATTGATCCTTCAGTTACACACTTAGCCATCCTCAAGGGGTAGACATGAAACCTTCAGTGTGCACAATAAAGAAGCAAAACAGGTGCAAAACGCAGGTGCCTAAAATGTGAAGCGGTAAAAGGCAAATACTACTAAATACCCGAATATGAAATGTGACGTTCCACATTTTCTTCCTCAGACTGATCTTTATTGCCTTCAACTTCAGCGCCCTAATACTTCAGTATGGAAGCAAAATAAAATGAAAATGCAGCATGGCAATGTATGTTTGCATTTAAATTTTCTGCTCATATATGCAATGTTGGGCTCAAAATGAAAATTTAATTTAAAATTTAAACCACACATTTTCTTTTTTCAGGTACATATTCTTGCACACATTCTGTGGAAATTGATTTTGAAAACACATTCGGCCCATTCCATTCCAACCTGTCACTCTTCACTCACGGTGGAACCAATAATACTGTTGTCGGAAATGGCCTTATACAAACCTTGTGGCCGAAGAGTTTAAATTCTTACGTTAGCAAATGAGGTGAAGCAGAGCAATATATCCACTTATAATATCTATTTTGTCTTTATACATGACTGAGTGAGAGTGTTAGATCAAATGTGTGGCCACGTTTTCTGGTTTATGAGTGTGGGAGTTGATGATAAACTGAGATCAATGGTTGAAAGACTGTGAATATAACCAGGGAAGCTGGAAAGCCTGCCATACAGATTCCAGTTGATGCCATGTAGGAATATCCTTTAGAAAACAAGCATCAGATTATATGGATTTATTGCTGTGCCATCGCCACACCTGCTAATACGCTACTTGAATAGTGGAGAGCTACAGAATCAAGCTAGCTATAAGCCATTGTTATAGCTAGCTACATTTCCAAAAAGGCCCTTAACTACTGTTAACAGGTTGGCTAACATGAACCAGCTCGATTTCACACACATACCAGGTTTTTTTTTTATTTTAATAATATTCATTGCTTATAAATCACGGTATTAAATTTGAATTTTCATTTTGAGCCCAAAATTCAATATATTTCAGAAATCTAAATGCAAACATAATACATGTTGAAGTTTTCATTTTAATTTTACCTCTGATGTTTTTTTTCATTCTTCAGGTATTTCTAGTACGTGTTGAGTTTGTTCTAAAGCCATAGATGCACTAGGATGAGCTAAGTAGTATGTACAGTGGTTGATCACAACTCATAAATTTCAACACAAGACACATCAGAATTTAACATCCATTTTGCTGGAAAACATTTGCACTCAGTAACTACAGTTTTGCAAACTTAATTGATCTTTTTCTTTTATTTGATCCATCTACAGCTCCAGGACCTTCTGGCTCCTCTAAAACAGTAAAACCTGCTGCTCCAGTGGGGAGTAAAAGATCCATCCAGGATATGGAGGGGAAATCAGAGGCCTACAAATCAATCTTCACTACTCACAGCTCCGCCAAGCGCACCAAAGACCAAATTTCCAACTGGGTCACCCACACTCCTTACCACTTTTGAGAGCAGTTTTCTTGTTTCTGTGTCGGTAGCACCCTCTAGTGGTGATGGAGGGTTGTTGAATCCTTCCCCTTCTCATTGTGACATAGTTTGTGTCCACTGTTGCTTGCAATGTATTTTAAATTTTTACCTTTAAGAAACATTTTTACAATTTCTTTTTGTTTTGAGGTAGAAATATAAGATCTTCCCCTCAGAAAAAGGGGATGATCGTTTTTCCTGCATGTTTTTTTTTTTCTTTTTAGACAAAATATAGGGCTTGTTTGAGCTGACAGCAAATTTCAAAATGTGTGAAATTTCTGTTTTCTTTATTATGATTAATTGATTTCAGTCTTTATTATGCATCACTCTAATGCTATACACCAGTTACCAGTTTATGACCAAACATTTAGGTACACCTAGTATATAAGTGCAGGTTTGTAGGTGTACAATTATGCTGCTACACCTTACACCCAGGCTACATTCACATTACAAGCCTTATTGCTCAAATCTGATTTTTTGCTCAAATCCAATCTCTCTAGCACGATGGTTCAGACTCGTTTAGGTAAGTGATTCAAATCTGCCATTAATGTGAGCAAACCGGGGTCCTGAAATGACCCGCATGCACACATCCTACTCAGTAACGTCACGTGAATGAATCATGTGCATCGTCAGCAAACAAACTAACGAGCAGAGCGAGCTTCACTGAGAAGATAATTAACTCTGAACAGCTCTCAGCTACATTATTAGAGAGAAGAAGGCGAGAAAGGTGAGATGTGTTACTTTTCCACCATTTACAGGCTTTATCTTCTGTTCGGCGCTGCTGCCGTGGCAACGCTGAATGATGGCGCACGCGCAGTGGGGAAAAAAGGACATAAATTCCAGTCTGAGCGTCACATTAAGGTCGCATGGCCACGAAACGATCCGATCTAGGACCACATATGAATATGGCTCAGGTCGAATTTGAAAAGATCAGATTTGCGTGTCAGATCTGAGTCGCATTTGGGCAAAAAATCGGATTTGTGACACTTCAACAAAAATTTGTGTCGATTTTTCACATATCTCAGAGCTCATTTATTTATTTATATAATATTGCAACATTTCAACCTCGATGGTCTTCATAAGGCAAACACCCTTGTGAAAAACACAGTAGGGGCCAGTATTGATTGCATAAAATTACCTGCCCGCCAACATGATTACAAACATGCACAAGAACATATATCATCCACACAATAGTTCTTAAAAAGTCATAGTTTAAAAGAAAAAGACATACCATAATAGTAATCTCAAATAAAAAATGATTTTTATCACAAGTATAAATTAATTTGCTGCTTTAATTTGGCCCACAGGATGATCCTTCTGAATGAGAGGTTCGTCAAAGAAAAGGCCTGATATCTGATTCTTCATTAAGCCCATACATAGTATTCAAAGTATTCTCAAAATCACTGCCCCTGGGAGATTTACTCACTTGCTTGATACCAAAATATCTTCGTGAACTAACAAGAGGGACTGCAGTCAGTAATTATAAACCTACAAAGTGTGCCTGTGTGATAGGTGTACCTGACGAAATGGCTGGTGACTGTAGCTACATGGTAAACTGGCAACTTGGTTTGTACTAACATACTTCTTTAGGATGCGAGTGGATAAATGTGTCCTATGTATTGATGACTGTGTGACGGTATATTCCATTACTTGTTTGAAGATGTCAGTGTGCTTCTTATTCAGTAAACAATGTACACCCTTACATGCGAAATGCGATTTGTAAATAAAACCTCATACCTAGTTTTTTTTACCTGCAGTTACTTTGATTGGCCATTAGATGGCAGCAAAGCACTGACTGTTGGTTAAACTCTCAGTGCAGCTGGCGGAGCCGTCCAGAGGGTTTCGGATATCGACAGATTTGTTTGCTTTATGTTTGCAAACTGATGCGTTAAACCTTGAAGTCTAGCAGCCTAAATTGGGGAACAGTCTGAATTTAAAGGGCTCACATCAAATAAAACCAAATTTTCCTCTTTTTTGTGGATAAAAGAATTTGATTGTTGTAATGAAAACCGTTATATTTGAATGTATACATCTATGCAGATTACAGTAGTTTGGCCCTGCCCATTTATGTTGAAGTTATAAAGAGTGTTTCAGCCCGGACTACCTTTTGAATGAAGCACAGTACAAGACAGCCAATGAGACAAAAGAGATCATTTTGGAGAGGTTGGAAAATGACCATGTAAAAATGAATTATGACTGTTTTTGGTACATAAATCATAGGTTTATGGTATAACTTGACCTCAGGGGGGAAAGGAGAAGCAAAGAAAAAGGTAGGATATGGGCCACTGAAGCAGTTGTGTTTTGCACCTTTAGAAAAGAAGAAATAAACAGACTGAATCACATATTAAAAGTCGTTTAACATACATTTCACTTGGATTTAGTTAAAGGAGGTGACACATTGAAATGTTATTATTATTATTATTATTGTTGTTGTTGTTGTTGTTGTTGTGCTGGAGGCACTGTGATGCTGTTACCTGAGAAATGAATAAGGGGATTCAGGTGGGAGGAACTCTGAAGAACAACAAAGAACTAGCGGAGTACTGAGTCCACCTTTATTCTAATGATCCTCATTTATAAAGTACCTGAATTTCGTTCTGTTCGTATGGTGAGTTCTCAGTATTTGTGTACTTGCCTTCTTTAATGCGTCTATCGCAGTCAGACTGCAGCTCCTGCGTCAAGTTGCAAACGCGTTTATCTGCGCACATTTTCGTTTCAAATTCGCTCAGTATAAACCGCTTACTTAGCGTGGATTTTCACCTACACTCTCAGATATAAAGGTATGAAATTGTCACTGGGCGGTTCCCCATCTTGTAACTGAGGTGGGACCCTCAAGGGAACATAATTGTACCATAATCTATTGAGACTATATTTTCTAAGCTGTACTGACTCCACACACCCCGTCTCGTCTCCAGGCCTTTATTTTACTGTTCTGTTTTAAAACATTCGGTTATGAAAAGATACAAATACGAACTTTTCACCTTGAAAAACTTATTTAAGGTTCACGGTTGGACCTTAAAACCACATTTACGTTGTTTGTACCTTGATGAACGAAAGATGTACCTGAACAGCATTTTTATTTCTAACACTGCGATCATTTTTAGATAAAATGTTAAATGTTAAATAGACGTAAATAGATTATGGTAAAATGTTTTACAAACCTCCAAAACAACACATGACACCAGACACAAGTTCCTTCTTGTCGTTTACCATTTCTCACCACTTCTTACTTTCTTTAGATTCCGAGATACTCAATTCCACTTTAATCTGAACGTTTCTTAAAGGGTTTCTCCGTATTAAAGGGCCAAATTAATGGAAAAGTGAATATTGTGAAAAATAAGAGTTTAATGTATTATGTATACGTTTAAAAAGCACCATTCACTCCTAAACCCATACTGTCCATGTATAGAACATAACGCCGCAAAGAGAGCTCATTTTAAATTTATAGTTGTTGTGATGTCACAAAAAAAACAATGCATCTACGTAATTCACCTATTCAGCTTACAGCAGTTTAGCTCCGCTCAGTCACATCTGAGTTTAAAGGAGTGTTTTTTTGTTTTGTTTTTTTTGCCTGGACTGCTGTCTGAATGAGTTACAACACAGAGCAGCCAATCAGAACAGAGCTTACTTACACATATCAGTCTCGAGGCTCAGTAAGGAGCGCAACACTTTTAATCGTAAGGGATAAAGAGAGGTTAGAAAACGGTCATGTGAAAATTACTTAGGGCTGTTTTTGGAGCACGCAGCTACACGAATGTCGTAAGTGGAATTAAGGAGGGGAAAAGTAATAAAAATCCAAGAAAAATGCACGATATGTGCCCTTTAAAGCTTCCTGTACAGCAACCAAGTGACGAGAGTCTCTAAGAGCTCCACACCGCCTTAATTAACAATGAATTTTTAATTATTTTGGCAAGACAACAACAGAGCAAGCGTGTTTGAGGCTTTGCTGATGTATTAACCTTCACTCTGCCTCAGAGCGCATCAAACCGTGGTTAGTCCACGCGCTCCTCCTCTCTCTTTATATTGATTGTTTTAATGGCTGATCACTCTTTTATCCCGAGCACGTCTCTGAGGCAGATCTGCTTCACTAGAGCGTTTATTGTTATTTCTTTTCCCGCCCGTTTTCAGACAGGCCCCGCCCTCCCGCGACAGGATTGGTTGGTAGCTCAGACTCGAAGCCTCTGGGCCGCGCAAGCGCGCGCCGCTTAGCCAATCCCGGCGCAGAAGGGCGGGGCCTGTCTGAATACCGGTGGGGAAACGAGCGGAATGTCGCGGCCTCCACTCAGGTGTTGCGCTGATCCGCGCATGCGCCGCGAGCCAGGTGTAAGTGAGCGCTCTTCCTCTGCGCGAGCTCAGCATTTGCTGTTTGTCGGAAAGGACCGTGCAGCCACCCATGCAGATGTCCTTATTAGAGAGGCTCGACTGGAGGGTGAGTCCTGTTTCTGTGTTTATTTATTGATCTGCTCGGTCTGTGACGGTCCGGACGGCCATTCCGCTCTGAGAGCGAGGAACGACTATTCTTTGTTTTCTTTGTATTTTACGGACTGCGCTGAGCATCTTCTGCTGATGGGGATTAGAGGATGAGGTCGACGTGGACTTTTCCAACTGAATTCATTTAGTCAAAAGTCTCTTAATGGGCTCATTTAAACAGCCTGTTTTAAATATCCCGATGAGGGAGCTTTATGGTTTTTCTCACATCCACGAGGAAAAGATCAGCAAATGTTAAATAATACTACTAGTGAAAATGATCGCATGTAAGACAACAATAACAACTATATTACCACCACTATTATCACTGCAATTTCTACTAGTAATAGTAGTAGTAGCAGTAATAATAATAATCATAATGATAATAATAATTGTGCCTACATTTCGTACATTTGTAGTTTTGAGGACTCTCTAACTCGTATTTAATGGGTACATAATGGGTTGATATTTTCAACTGTGGACAATTAGCATATAATATGTAAAATATATTTTAACTCGGATCATTTAATTCACTCACAAACAAAGTTAAATGTCTCGATTCAGTTTAGATCAAAGAATGCAATCGACGTAGATTATATCTAAAATACAGTTACGTTACATATATAGTTACAAAATACTTAGATAGATAGATAGATAGATAGATAGATAGATAGAATTTATATATTTCGGGTTTAATAGGCCTACAGAGCGTCTGAGCGGGCAGCGTTATTGTGTAGCTAATAAGAAATTTTCTCATTCACGTGCCATAAAGGCCTTTACAATCAAGGCACTACGATGTGTCGAAAAACCTGAAATGTGAAATTCTATCTAAATTGCATGTTTTTTCGAAAACTGAACCCATCGCACGAGCACACCCGGCTGTCGACCTCCGCAGCCAGACTGTCTATTTTAAAGATTTAGAAATCTGTTTACAGGTCACACCAGTAAACAGTGCTTGGCAGGAAAACTTTTTTCAATTTAGAACAGTTTTAGCTGAGGCCTTAATTTGGACAGTTACTTCAGACAAGCAGCGCGTTTAATCACAACAGGTCAAAAGCGTGGAACTCACTTCTAGAGCTGGAAATGTCTGTTCACAGTGAATGAAGCGCCTGCAGAACATACAGAAAAGCCAGTCAGAGTCGGTCAGCCTGTCCGCTTTGGGTTCGTGTGCTTAGAGGAGCTTTAACAACTTTTTATGAATTGAAGCTTAAGAACAGATTCGCCAACAATTTAGCAGCACGTGTCACTGATTATTGCGCTTTTTATTTATTTGGTGAACGTCCCCTTTGAGCTCGGCTGTTGTTTGGTTTTTCTGTAGACAAAAGCGGCAGCTTTGTTCTGCCTTGTTCTGACCGCTAGAAGCTCCACCGAAAACGGTGATTAAGATTAGAGGGGCAATCTGTGGCGCTTAGTGGTTAAGAGAACGCAGCCCGCTGTGAGCGAGGAGGCGAAGATCCAGCAGACAGACTCCGCTCTACCTCAGCATGTAAACAGCCAAAGGCTTATAGACTCAGGGCTTAAATGGGATTCACTGGTGTTAGAATGACTTCAAATGATGATGGGAAGATACCGTCTACAGACAGAGCTGACCTCTCGGCGTGGGCATGGCTTCACTGTTTCAGCTGACGGCTCATAATTTGAGGGATTAAATCTCGTGTAAATAAATGTATAGCACACAAATGAATTTAGAGGTAGAAGTGAGTGCGCTGGTGACGTGTTAAGAGAGCACGTCATTTATTTAGTTGGTTCTTATTTGTCTTATAACAACAACAAAAATAAATGGTACTGAGCTGTGGATCTCTAACGCTTGATTATTTAGAATAGATAGATAGATAGATAGATAGATAGATAGATAGATAGAACTTTATTAATCTCGAAGGGAAATTGCAGTGTTACAGTATCAATACATGTAATTGTTCATAAACTTACATATATTAGGCAGAAATAAAAATAGAAATAAAAACAGACATAAATCAGGCAGAAATAGACAGATAAAAAAGACAGTTAGAGCATACGTATATATATATATATATATATATATATATATATATATATATATATATATATGTATATATTCACTAGAGATATACAACTGTGAAGTACCTCATACTGTTATAACACTGTAATACCAGCTGTAACAGTAACCATGGCCTTAACTGTATATATAAGCGTGCACACACAGAAATATATACATACAATAAGAAAATGAATATATATATATATATATATATAAAGCTTGCACACACACACGTATATATATATATATATATATATATATATATATATATATATATATATATGTTGTGGTAGGGAATGTAGGAAATACTACAAACAGTTCATTAATTAAAATCATGAATCGTAAGTCATTGACAATATCATAGTTTGAGGCGATGTATCTCCAGCATGACGCCAACTTTCCCTTTCGTTGTTATTTTATCGAACATAAAAATAACACCGACTTCTGAATATCCAGCAGCGCTGGCTCGTGAGCAGGCGGACAGCGCAGTGATTGGTCCGTCGTTTCCTCGCCAGCCAATCGTCAAAGCGCGCCCCGTCGTCGCTCATTATGACGTCTCGACGGCGCCCCGCCCCCTTTCGGCGGCTGGGCGAATATAGTGGCAAGATTTAAAGAGGGATGAGCGAGTGAAGGACAGCAGAGCAGTTCGGCCGTCAGAGGGAGTCCGGGTTACTCTGCAGAGCCCCGCGCGCGCGCATGAGTCGCTTCTTCCTGGAAGGGGACGTTTGGCAGCCGTTCATCTCCCGACAGTCTGAGCCCAGAGCTTCATGTGGCTCGCTGGTCTTCCTCTCCGCACACTCGGCCGCCCGCTTCGCCAGTTGATGCATTTGCTCGCCGCCTGCTCTGCGCTTTCTGGAGTAAAAACTGCACGAGCCGACACTGTGACAAGCCTGTGCGCGTGAGATTCGCCTTGATCCAAAAGAGAGAAGATGTTGTGGAAGTTAGCAGATAACGTGAAGTACGAGGAGGACTGCGAGGTAAGTGCGCGCGCGCCGGGCGTCCTTTCTACGCTGGCCCTCGCGTCACATGTGCGAAAGCTTCAGCGATGAGTGTGTTTCGTTAAAGGGAGCAGACTGACCGCGAGTTTTAACAAGAAACAGTTAAAAAGTTTTGAGTTTCAGTCGCAGGATTTGTTTACAGCAGTTCAGCAGCTGAAATGGCCTTCAAATCCTGCAGGGCACGTGGGTTTAATGCACGAGCCGATTAAACAGCATCTCACTTTTTAAAATAAATATTCATGAGCAGAATTCAAGCCTGTTCTCGCGCTGTCCTGGTCCGTCCGGTGCTTTGATTTCGCTCCTATTCAGTCTCGACTGGATCTTCAGTCTTTGTCCGCAATCTCAGTTATATCGCATTAATAACACCTTAACAAATACAGTCTCGTTCAAGGTGTGGACATTTAGACATTCCGGGACAGTTTCTGACCAAAGTGACCTGTACTCATATATGTCATATATGTGCCACGTGCTGATACATATGTACTAATATGTAAAACTTATTTGAGAAAAAAATTCAGTTGACTTTTATTATTTTTGATTTTTTGTTTGTTTGTTTTTTATTTATTTATTTATGGCTAATCAGAATAACATTGTATGCTATAATGTATGTAATCTACAATAGAAATAATTAAAATAATCATCTCTATTTTGAATAAAAACATAAAATAAAATCTGCTTTTCTATCCAGTGAGGGTAAATTGTGTAAGTTATCATTTACTTTTGTTTGTCTGTTTTGTTTTTATTTTTATTTTTTCAAGTAAACAGACGACTCCCTTTAATCAAATAACCTTTTTCTCCTTAACGTTTCTCGCGTGAGACTCTTCTTTGTCTACGCTTATCATGCACTGCCAATTTCTGATGCAACATCCTAAAACCTTTTCAGGTGAAACTTCTCAAACATTAAATTACACTTTGTGGTGTCTGTCCATAGCAGCTTTGTGCTTTATGCATGTCTTTCTGACTGACCTTCAGGAGAAGCTGAAGTGTGTTCAAATAGGCCATCAAGCAATTAAAGAAACTGGTTTGTTCCAGTTGTAGCTGGTATTTAAATGAGCGAAAGGAATCGCCATAAACAGGCAGCTTCAATTACAACAGCGTGGACTTTAAATGAAGCAGTGCCACTTCTGTGCTGACCTGACGTCCCATCTGTGTCTCTATTCCAGCAGGAGAGACATGACGGCAGCAGCAATGGGAACCCCCGGTTACCCCACCTGCCCGCGGTCAGTCAGCACCTCTACAGTCCGGCTCCTTCCCTCACTCACTCCACCGGCTCTGACTTCCAGCCCCCGTACTTCCCCCCTCCGTACCAGCCCCTGCCCTACGCACAGTCCAGCGACCCCTACTCCCACCTCAGCGACCCCTTCAACATCAACTCCATACACCAGTCTCCAACGTCCAATCAGCAGCAGCCGTGGCCCGGCCGCCAAAACCAGGACGGGCTCGGGCCGCACGGCCGCAGCGGGCTGGCCAGCCAGATCCTCGGTTTGGAGGGGGGGTCGTCCGGGTTGCGCAGAGACGGCTTCAGGAGGCCCGAGCTGCTGCCCCCGCACGTCCATGGCATCGAGGCGGCCATAGGTGAGAACATGGGGCTGCACGACATGGGCCAAGGACTGGACGACGTGCAGGTAAGCGCTCAGAACTTTTTAGAGAAACTGAATTTTCCTTTGTGTTGTTTTTTTTGTGTTTTTTTTTTGAGGCTTTTTGACGAGGCGCGCTCGCTGTGATGGACTGAGGAATCTGACCTGTGTGATTTAGTTTGGCTTATTTGTAATTAAGTTGACTGAGTGAGTCATTTTAACCCTAATATTTAATATTGATTTATTTCACACAGCATGTAGAAGATCACAGTATTGTAATCGCCGACCAGACAGTCATCAAAAAAGGTAGGTTTTTATTCTTCCTCTTATTTAAGTTTTTCTTATATATATATATATATATATATATATATATATATATATATATATATATATATATATATATGGTGCCATGTTTTTCTGCAGATTCCGGTGCACATCTTCCATTTGTTTGCTGAGTCTAGTATAATGGAAAAAATAAACACAAGGTGCCATAAATTTTGCACAGGCTACATCTTATGTTTTCTCCATTATGGGAAATTCAGCAAGTGAACAGCAGCTGTGCATTAAAATGTGCAGAAGTGTGTTCTCTGTAGAGGATGCGTTCACTTAGTCTCACAGAAATCAATAAAAACTTCACTTAACCAGGGGTGCACAAACTTTTGAGTTTTGGGTAAACTGTGTTAAAAAGCTTCAGAATTTTCAAATACACATACACATACATGTGTATATATATATATATATATATATATATATATATATATATATATATATATATATATATATATGAACACACACACACACACACACACACACACACACACATATATATATATATATATATATATATATATATATATATATATACACACACACACACACACACACACATATATGTATCAAAACACGCAATAGACCATTTTAAAAATGCGTAATATATATAAGTTGAAAATCAGGCTGCTCGCTCTTGCTGCATCGCTGCGTTTGTTGTCGAGGAAGGACAAAGCAAAGTGCTCTTCTCGTTATTAATACTGATAATATGAGGCCTGACAGGACGAACAGGGGGGAAGTGCACTAACATAAAGATGGGCATAAAATAACACCATGATGCACATCTGGCCCCAGTTACGGCTCCCAGCTCCGCAGTGTGGCTGCTTTTACCCGGCCAGAGCCTGAGAGGGAGAGGCTGAGGAAGCTCTGCTTCAAACTCTCCCTCTAATCCGTTTTGGCCGTGTGCTCCATTTAACTAATCTGGGCTTGATCCTCCTCGCATTGTAGTCCTCACTCGGCATGAATGGAAAGTCAGGAGGAGGAATCCTCGCGAAATGGCAGACGAGCTGACAAGTTGTGGAAGTTGGGCAATCTTTAAAACGCTCTGTTGGCTCAGAGAGAAGAGGCCCGGGCCATCTTTGTTCGCCGAGCTTAATGCTGCTCGCTGCGGTGAATGAGCGTTGAGTGCTGTCAGAGCTGACCGCCTCAGCGGAGTCACGCGAAACGCGGAGAGAGACGTGAAGGAACAGCGCGCGGGGTGTGGCAGCTCTGAGACGGGCAGAGCACAGAGAGCCTACAGAGCTCGGTCAGGTGTTGGGACACGAAGTGCTTTTGACTCAGATAGACGGAGCCATACGGGAAGCTCTTAGTCAGCAAGAGCACATGTGCACTGGTATGAGGTAGTAAATAGGTGAATTTGGTCAGATCTGAGCATTTAAATACCATTTTAAAGCTTTTGAGACTGTCTACACAAAAGTTTGTGCACCCCTGGGTAAATGACGTTTTTATTGATTCCTGTAAGCAAGAATGAGTGAAGCATCCTCTACAGAGAACACACTACTGCTCATTTTAATGCATATCTGCTGTTTACTTGCTGAATTTCACATAATGGAGAAGATGTAGCCTGTGCAAAAGTTATGGCACCTTGTGTTTATTTTTCTATTATACTAAACTGAGCAAACAAATGGAAAACATTTGTAAGGTTTTCCTAGAGGATATGCTGACTTTTTCCGCTTAGAAAGTCAAACTTTTGCATACTCGCGAGGAAGGTAATCATTTCCACAGCTCCACTGTGTTCATTCACATTAAGTTTGGGTTTAATTTCATTCTGTTCTGTTGGTTCAGCATCTGGACTGCCTGGCGTTGGTCAGACCTCTCACTTTGTAGCTTTTGCAGCATTTTAATTTAGACCAAATGTATCCCAAAAGAATAGAGCCGAACAAGCTTCCTATGCTGATAGCTGCTGGATGTAGTAAGAGGTTCCACTGCAGTTCTGCAGGGAACTGGAACTCAGGAGTTTAAAAATAACTTTTCACTCCTGTTTAAGTTGTTCTTTGGCCAGTACTGAGGTTATTTCACTGAAGTACCACTTTTACTTGATTACAGTTTCAGTGTACCCACTCATACTGTGAGCAAATCTCTCTGAAACTTTGTAATGGGTTTACGCCTCACTGAGATGCGTTAATACAGTAAAGTAGTATAAGAAATGTAGCTAAGTGCAGCGCTGGGAAATATCACTATATTTGTTTTTGGGATAAATTATGTCACAATACGTCATGTTAAAAAATCTCAGATCTCGGCTATCGTCACTACCTAAACAGCTGCATGTTTCATTACAAAGACAGCTTAATTTGTCCTGCTTGATTGCGTGGATTATGTAGCATGTTTAAATTGCGGCACTGCTGTTTTGCTGGTATTGTGTCCCAACTTCAACAACATTCTTATATTTCTGTAATGTGGAGTACAGAAATATAATGATATGTATTGAGTAAGTGAAAATGTCTTCAAATGTCTTGTTATATTTTTCACCCACCCTGGTCGAGTGTTACATCTACACAAAGACAAAACGTGCTATATCTACTGTAAATAAAGAAGAAATAATAAAAAAACAAATGTATCAAACTCCCCATACAGCAGCGTACAACACTGTGATAATAAAAAGTGATAAGCTGAGGAAAGTTTACTGAAAACAGTGCAATTGCTGGCTAGAAATATTATGATCAAAAAGTTATATTTGATTAAAGTCTGTGAGCACATTTCCCACAATAGAGGCTGCATAGCTTTTAAAAAATGTCATGTGAGTATTTTTTTCACAGGGCTGCATTTTAAGTGACCAAAGGGATCGATGGGCATAGCTCTTTACTTATCTTTGCCATTTTATACAGTATAATTTATTGTGTCTCTGTGCGTCCACCGTGGGATGTTTCCACCACAAGCAGATTTGACAAGTTTGGCATTCGTTTTTGTCAGTCAGTAATTTAGAGTCTCTTTTAACTCTGTGGAGCATCTTGACAAATGCACATTTACGCCAATACATTTGAAGACTTGATTATAGTATGAATGACTCTGGCACAGCACAGGCCCCTATTATGGTTTACATAAGTCTCAATTTTGGCTCACATTTATTATCTCATTGACTTCTTCGACCATCTGAGTCTCAGGTCGGACACAGAATAGACCGTTCGATAAACTCTGAACATCAAACGGGGACGGATTACTAGTCAAACATTTACATCATCTATTTTGTTTTCCCAAATGGTCTCGGAGTTGTGCATATTTTATTAATGCCATATGGCTTCTGCCCATACTGAAACACCACAGGACACAAACATCCGTTTTTGTCCTGAACGACCACCCATCCTGCTTTTGAGGTTCTACTCTTTGGTGTGCTTCAGAATTAGAACTGTGGCATCTTGATCACTTTCAGAGATGCTGTGTTTAGGGGGGCTCTCTTAGTAGTGGTGCCTGATTGGAGGTGATATACAGGGCAGACTCTCGGAGACCGAGCCTGGTCTTAGTCTCTCAGGGCCAGTTTCAACACTACATTGAAATGTCAGTGGTGAGTCACTGCTGAAAAGCCCTTTTAGTCTTGGCTTAAGCTCAACCCGGGACTAAAGTTTAGCATTAAAACAGGTTCTCAGTGTTAAATACAGTAATAAGCAGACTGTGGAACTGATGGCTTTTGCTTAGCTGTGCTAATTGTGCTGACTGTCGAATGTGCTGTTTGTTACTCGGAGCATGGCTCGCGGAACAGTTTGCTTAGTTTGTAGCGATTGCTGTACAGAATGAGGCAGAAGAGCTCGTCTGTAAACAGCAGTGAGTTATCAGGGTCTATATCTGTTTCTAATTAGAGAACTTCACATCCAATTACATGTCAAATTACATGTTTTAGTAAGTTAACTCATCCTCTACAGGGAACACATTTAAATAATATTATTACATTTTAGTGCACAATTCTTTGTATTTGCCAAGTTTAACATGTTGGAAAAAAAATATAAAGTTCAAAATGTGCCGTAACTTTTGCACAGGCCCATTTTTTTATTATTTTTTCCTCTGTGCATTAAATTCATCACAATACGAATAATGCAGATGTGTGTTCTCTGTAGAGGGCGTAACTTATTTTTACTTAGAAAATCAACAAAATGTGTAATTTGACCAAATCACCCAAACCTTTGCATATGACTGAAAGCGATTTCATAAGGACAGCAACTGTATTAACTTCTTAAATTGTAGGCTTCTTAATAAGTTGTTGATCTTAAGACTTATTAGACAGTAACTATTAGAAAGGATCCAAAAATTGCAAAGACGCAAGAGAGAGGAATAGAAGTGTGGACCCACACTCAAGTGTCTTAGACTTGTTAACATCTATTCTAGTCTGTTCAGTTTAAATACCATTAAATTCATTCTTGAGAAAAACAGATAGTGTCTGTTTTCCAAACAACCCCAAAGATTCCCTCCCTAAACTCTAATTATAAATCAAGATCACTGTCTGCCTTTTGTCCACCTCCTCTGTGTTACTGGAACATTATGGTTGAGCATAATTGCACGTCTCTCCTCCTCAGGTCCAGTGACCCTTCCCAAGGGGAACCCGATGGGTCTTCCCTTCCAGAAGGAGTCCCTGCTGGGCATGGTATCCAATCCCACAGAAGTGTTCTGCTCGGTTCCGGGCCGCCTCTCTTTGCTCAGCTCCACCTCTAAATACAAAGTGACCGTAGCCGAGGTCCAGAGACGTCTGTCCCCACCCGAGTGTCTCAATGCCTCTCTGCTTGGGGGAGTACTACGCAGGTGAGAAATGGAAACTAATATGCCTATAAATAAACACATATTCACAACATTCAGAAACAAAGTGCTGGTTTAACAAATGCCTGGTTAGTGTTGTTGGTATATTTTGGTGTAGAGAACGGCGTGGTGTTTTTATCAGTGATTACTTTTTTGTTTTTAGAGAAATATTTAAAATATAAGTGTAATTCTATATGATTGGGAGTTTAATTTTAGGCATTTGTCATATGGATTTAGATAAAATACAAAAAGAAATTACTTCATTTGCTGCCATAAGACTATTACACACAGTCTCTACAAATTACGCTAGTTATGCTATTTTTTCCTATATTTGTATGTTTGGATGTTGTGCTTTATAAGCCTTTTTACACACTGGGTAGCTCTTTTATTATATCTTATTGCCATTTGTGGTACAGAGCAATGACTAATCTCTTAGTTAAAACTATTACATGTATGCAATGTGCTGTAGAGAGTAATGCCTTCAGTCATTCTGTAGATGGTGAGGAGCATTACTGTATATATCTGTATGTGTGAAAGATAAAGGAGTGAGGAGGGGTGTATGTGTGAAGAGACGGGCTGCTTGGCTGATTTTAACTGTAGCTGAACAGTTGACCTCGTGCCCCTTGTTGCCCCATATGCGGGCAGGAACAGTGTTGAGGGAAATGGAGAGAGAAGGGGGTGTCTCCGTAGCTCTGATGTGTGTGAGCTGTTTTTGCTGGGAATGCACGTTTTTCACTTCCCTTGTGTGTCTCACACACACACGCACACACACACACATACGCAGGTTTGTTTTTGTACTGCCAGGATGTGTGGTTTTACAAATGTGTCATATGTATTATATATAGATTGGGGTCAAAAGACCACATTGAAAATCTTGGAATTTTTTTTTCAATTAAACCTGGAAATGAATTCATTTTTATAACAAGAAGAAATATCCAGGTTTCTGCACTAGTTCTAGATCGCTATTCAAATTTAGGCAAAATTGTAACATTGACCCTGTTAAGGCCTTTGTACAAAAAGGTAAAAAAAGACAATGCATGCTGCCATTAAAAGAAAAGGAGGAAGTCAAATACTGAGAAATTCTGAAATCCATTTTAAAATTTCTAAAACAGTTCACTCAAATTATTGTACTGTTCAGAAAAGAATGCAAAATATAAGCATTTTTCACTGGTGATCTCAGACTTGTGGACCCCAATGTATTTAAGTACTTCAATATAATAATAATATTTTTAAATTGATTTGTTTGCAAAAGTTTGGGCAAATAACAGGTTTTATTTATTTTCTTAGTAAAAAAATAATTTGGCACATTTTAATGCACAATTACTGTTGTGTTTATCTGCTGAATTTAACATACTGGGGAAAAAACAAAACATAAAATGTGGCCTGCGCAAAAGTTGTCTTTTATGTTTTATTTTTTTCCCCGATATGTTAAATTCAGCAAGCGAGTAGAAATTGTTCAATAAAATTTGCATTAAAGTGCCATTTTAAGTTTCCCTGAAGAGGATGTGTTCATTTTACCTGGGGTGTTCAAACCTTTGCATACGACCGTATATTACATGCATATATGCATATATAAGTGTATCTGAATGTGTATATCAGTATCTATATGTAATAATACATACTGTTGTTGGTCCTGACAGTGAAGATTAGTCCTGTTTTTCTGTGGTTTTCCTACAAAGTCAGGACTTTTTTTCCTGAAACAAAAACACATAGAGATGTGTGACAGACATTATTAAGTAGGTCATGTAGAGATCGTTTGGGGTGGAGGGGGCAGTCAGGGGGTACTCACTCCTCCCTAAAGATGTCGCTTCTCACTCACCCGCCATGCGGAGGGCAGCGCTAGGCCTCCAGGCCTAGTCATGCGGAAAAATGAAGCGGCTCAATTAAGTGGGGAATTTGTTTGTGCGTGTGTGCATCTGTGTGTGTGTGTGTGTGTGTATTTTCACTCCAAAGGCTCTGAGGCTGTGGTTTCATTTGTCCGCACACTTGCAGTTTTGTATTTATTTACGTGAATGTGTGCTTTCAAGACACATACAGTAGACTAGAAGAAAAATATCTCTCATTGTCAAAACTCATGTGTTTTGCCTGCAGTTAACACGTGGTTTATTCGGACTGAAAAACTTACAAATTGTTTGTTGTATCACACAGGGCTAAGTCAAAGAATGGTGGACGATCCCTCAGAGAGAAGCTGGACAAGATCGGGCTGAACTTGCCAGCAGGTCGCAGGAAGGCAGCTAATGTCACCTTGCTAACAGCGCTAGTAGAAGGTATGAGTTTATTTTCTGAATGTCCCCTGTTGAGGCACCATAGAAGCAGTCATGGTCACGAGTTAGCAGTACAGCCACATTTTAATCAGTATGTGATGTGACTGATAATATTTACCCCAAATAGTTTTGTAGTAGACATGATTCTAAACTCCAAGTCAGATTTCACTGGTTTGCTATTACTGCTTGCTTGTCTTAAGCTCATGTTTTTTATTCTATACCCAGTACAAAAGAAGAATGTCCACTATGTGAATGCAGCCTAGCTTTCATCAGACATGAAGAAAGAGTTTGCATGTGTGAAGATGTTTCAGTTGACATTTTGAGGTTAGCAAGCAGCTGCCCAAAACTTGAAGAGCAAGAAATGGCTCATAAAAACCAGACCTATAAATTCCAGCGGATCATCTGCAGTGGAGCTGTTTATCATGCTAGACTATGACATGTACTGGCTTAGCCACCTCAAGCGTTCTTGAGATCTTAAAATGCTAACCATGTTTTTTTTTTTTTTGTACTCACAGAGTACAAATTAACCTTAAGGGTGTGTGCTAACAAATACTTTAATTTCATGACATTTCATCTGAAGCTGTACCTTTTGCGAGAGTATATTCAAGCAATGAGTCACAGAGATGTTAATGCAAGCATCATGAGTGAGCTAGTGCCCACAGCTACACGGAATACTCTTTTTCTTTTCCGTGATGTTGCCATTCTCACTGTTAGTAGGACGAGGAACATGACTGGAAGGCTATGTTATTTAGAGACCTTCAAAGCTGAATTGGAGCTTGTTATCATGTGTTTGCTAGCCAAGAGGAGAGACTGACCTTAAAGATGGAGACTCTGCAGTGTAATGGGTGGTCTATCAATAAGAGCCTCTGTCGGATCTGTGGAACTGTTTGCTGCCTTCAGCTACATAAGCCCATTAAAAGCATGCAGTATGACCACCCACCCCTCCCTTCCTAGAGAAGATGCGTCCATCTATGTTCTTCTCTGTAGCCCTCAAATCCCTCTGGCTGGGAACTGATTCCTTTTTGTGGCACTACTTGACTCACTGGGTGAACTGCTGGGTTGAACGATGACTCATATTCGTTTGCACAGTTTTATGAACCTGACTCACCTCTGATTAACATCTGCAGGTGAGGCTGTACACCTGGCCCGAGACTTTGGTTATGTCTGTGAGACTGAGTTTCCTGCCAAGGCAGTTGCCGAGTACCTCGGACGGCCACATGTAGAACGCAACGAGATCAACTCTCGCAAGAACATGCTCTTGGCAGCCAAGTGAGTAACTCTCAGTCCTGTCAGTTTTTCCATTTACCACATTACTGACAGAACCATCCTACTTTTTCCAGATTCCTGACACTTCATACAAAATTCTTTACATTTTGAAGGGAGTAGTCTATGCTGGTTTGATATTTTGCCTTAATAACCTCTAGAATTATGCTTAAAATAAAGGGTATCTTTCTTATTCTCACATTTGAAACATGTCTGCGCATATCTGCTGTCGCCTGACCCACTTCTGGTAATGATTGGTGACTCTAATGAGCTGTCCAGGCTTCAGAGACTCCAACAGCATTTGCTATCTTGTTTTTTTCACATCAAAGAAAGTACTAGTATCCTGGAAGGGGGCAAATGACTCATCTGCTAAAGTGTGGCTTAATTAAAAATGAGAAAAGTCTCACATCTGGAGAAAATAAGGTTCAAAATTAGGAGTCAGAGTTCAGCAATTTAACAAAAATTTGGCATCCCTCTCTAATGTCTAGACCAGAGGTATTTAAATCCGGACCTTGAATCCAGATTCCGGGTCTGGATTTGAAGACCTCTGATCTAGACAGTGCAGATTAATAAGAATAATAAATTCGTAGACTGAATCAGTCTGACACAGGTGGGGGTTCCATGGGGTGACTCATTCCATTTATGTGCGTCTTAACTACTAAAAAAAGATGGGGGTTATATTATTTTTTAACAGATTTACAACATGTATAATTTATTATTCTTCCCACCCAGGCAAATCTGCAAGGAGTTCACCGACCTCCTGACCCAAGATCGTTCTCCGCTGGGCAACTCGCGGCCTGCACCCATCCTGGAACCAGGGATCCAGGGGTGCCTGACCCACTTCAGCCTCATCACCCACGGCTTCGGCTCTCCAGCCATCTGTGCCGCCATGACCTCGTTGCAGAACTACCTCAACGAGGCTATCAAGCAGGTGGACAAAATGTACCTGAGTGCAGGCGGAGACACCTCACAAGGCTCCTCAGATGGAGGTAGCAAAGCTACAGACAAGATGGACAAGCACAGGAAGTGAACGGGTGAAGCTGGACTGGAGCTTTTTAAGGACAGTGGTGTCTCATGGACTACGTTTGACTGTTGCATTCTTGTCATCGTAGTTGTTGTCATTGGTTCAGTTTCACATTGATTTCGACGGACGCTGGGCATCGTTAGTGCCCCTTCCTTCATGTCCTGGTCTACCAGAACCTCTCCTCGACACAGACGTTTAAATGCTTTGCCCCTTTTGAGTGGCTCACGTAGATGATTACCACTTTCCTCAACAGCATCTGTAGACACATGCATGTTGTCCATGGCTCTACGCTGAGAAGCTTTTTTTTTAAAAAAAAAACAATGCAGACACCATTTCAAGAGTTTATGTGGATTTTAAATATTTTCTCTTGTGTTTTTGTTTATTTTTTCATGAAGAGGAAGTCCTACATTTTTGTCTTCTTGGTGCTGAACCCCTATAGAACATGCAGAGGACATGCGATCTGCTTGTGAGAATGAGTTGCTCTTTGCTTGACTTCATTTGGACGCAGTGTTATTGTACTTTTTGTCTGTGGGAGTATTGTTAGCATGACTGAGTGCTATGTATGTTGTGGATCTCAAGATAAATAGGTCCAGATTCAAATGACCCTGAAGGCACTAAATCATTGTGGAGACTACATGCCGCTTTCAGGAGCATTATATTTTAGTCTCCTTTAATGCCACCTATTCAGAACACATTAACCCCTTTAATTCCCAGACGTGTTACTTTTTAAGGCTTATTATTTAGCAACTACATGAAAAACAATGCAAACTGGCCTAGTTATAGGAGAGTGGAATGAAAGCCTGGACCCACTACTGGCTTTTGGCCATTTATGGGGTTTTTATGAACAAAATTGTCCCCAGCTATGAACAATTAGGGACTTCCGCTCAACATTTTTTGGAATCCGTCGGTCAGAGAAGATCAGACAGGCATATGCATGTATGTTTTGTGTGAAATTATATATGTTTTCTGTAAATACAGTACGTCTTTTTAATGCCTTTAGACTCGGACTAGAACTGTCGTTTCCATCTCACCCTAAATGTAAATATTTTCTAATTTATGTTGTAATTTAATGGGATTTGTAAATATCGGTACAATTCTGGTGTATGGTTTAACTTTCAAACAGATGTGTTCAGCTTTTTATAAACGGGTTCGTTTTTTATCATATAGTGGTTAGGCCGTGGGGATGATTTTCTTTTCATATATGTGTAAAAGTCTTTTAAAGCTATAGGATAAAGAAGAATAAAAAGAAAAATAACAACACTGTTCATAGTGCCTGTTAAGTCTTCTCATTTATGTCGTTGGGTCATCGGTTCATGCACTTCTGCCAGTGAAGCATGCGGATAATGGCTTATTCAAGTGCACAGTCTTTTTTATATGTAAGGGCACAAACGCAGTAGCAGTGACTGTTACATATCTTATTTTATCAAGCCTGAAAAATGCAGGTCAGTAGATGATGACCGGATTTCCCAGGAAGCTCCTGAAAAGAAATGAGCCACACAAGCAGGGCTGCTTGTTTGTTCTCAGCTTTTAACGTCTGGCACACCTGCCTTACCTGGATCTCTCCTCTCCAGTGTGTTTGTTTATTCATGGCCTCTAAACACAGTTCCCTTTTTTCAGCTCTCACCTCGCCATCCTGCAAATGGGCGTGACGGCACAACAGATGGATGCAAGATAAAATCCAGTATGTGGTCAATCCCTCAACATATGAACGTATGAGAAGAATAAGCTCTTGAGCAACAGTTGCCAGTAAGGAATAAGATAATATTTGCTCATTACTACACATGGAATCACCTAGACGCTTTTTTTTCCGAGCTCATCATAATTTACGGGACAGAGATGTGTGGCTGGTTGCGAAATCGCTGAATTCATTGAGTAAACTGGCATTCTAGTCTGACATTACAGCTCAGCTCTCTTGAAGGGGATGTGACTCGAGTGAAAATGATAAAGTTGCTCTGTGACAGGTTTAACCATTGGTAGGGTAAAATGCAGCACTAGCAATTACATACAAGTTATGCCTGAGTCGCTGGCCTTGACGCACTGACACTGCTTCAAAGCTCATATATCACTAAAAGGTGCAGATGAACCATTTGTTTACTAAGCTGAAGTCAGCTCCTTATTCAAATTTTCCATTCCACTTTAAATGGTTCAGCAGTTACACGCTGGTGCCTGTGGCCTGTGGAGCCAGAGCTTCTCCATTTGGAATGGAGAATTCAAATAAGAAGCCAACTTCAGCCACATGTTTTGTTATACATCTTCACCAGCATGCTATATTTTGCACCGTTTCTTCATTGCACACTCTTTCTATGCATGTATGTTTGTGTGTGAAGTGAGTGACTCATGCACCTGAGCTGACGGTGGAACAAGTATGAGCTTCTCCCTCAGAACCTGATGGACCGGCCATGTGGCTTTTGCCTAGCTGTGCCTGCCTGTAACCGCCTTCAGTTGATTCTTTTCCTTGCGCAGGGATGAAAGATGAGACATGCTAACTTTGCTTTTGGAGGCTTGCTTTGACGACTGATTGCATATGGCTGTGGCATTCGCTTCCTCTTATTCCTGAAAGGTGTTGATGACCAGTGTGAAATGAACGCAAGCTGTTTTTCAAACTACTTGCTTGTAAGGCAATGGATGTTAAGTCTGTTTCCTCCTCTGTTCGGAGCTGGTCCGTGACAAGGACTGGTGTCAAAATATATATGGATTTCGAAATTTGCTTTAGCCTATAAGCCTCACTGGAGGCTGAGATAGCATTTTGTTGCTCCGTTTGACTTTCACGGGACATGTATCACAGCTAGAGACAGCACGATACCAATTTTTATTTTCTGATACCAATATTGAAACCTTGAGTATCTGCTGATACCTGATATTTTTTCCTTTAAGACTACTTAGTTTTAAATAATTTGTATAGGGCCAATATCCTCCATTATTCTCTCTTTTTTTGTCAACTGATGACATTTCTTTGGTTTTATGTATCAAAAACAGACCATTTTACAACTTCTTATCCTTTGAAAACAAAAACAGGCTGTTTCTGTTACTGGTCCCTTTAAAATGATGTATGGTAATGATCTCTGTTCTGATTGGTTGACCTGTATTGTGGTTTAATCAAAAAATAGACCACGCTGTTGGCACTCCTTATTACTTCAACACAAATGGGTGGGGCTTAACTGCTGCGGGCTGAATAGGCAGATATTTATAAATGCGTTGTTTTTATAACACTGCAAAAATGTTTAATTCAAAACAGGCAGCAAAGTTTCCATTTGCAAACTGAATGAGTGCTATGTTTTGAAATTTTAACAACGTTTACATACTAGCTACTACCATACTCTTTTATTAAAAAAGGAGAGAAAACATTGTTCCTGATATGGGCCTTTATTATAGCATTTCACTTAAGATGAGAATCTAAAAATAATGTCTCATCACACAGTGTGAGTGAGTGCTATTTCAGAACAGATTTGTTACAAGATTGGATCACATTCAGTTTTTTTCCCCTCTAATATCTAATCCAGATTTTTTCCCTGATATCGGCCTGATACTTATATGATTTGGTAGCGGATTGATACCATCACTAATGACAGCAAAATTACATACATGTTACATACAAAACATAAAGCATTTCGTCAATGATTGAACAAAACCTCATATCTTCAAAATGGTAACTTTAAAGGAGAAGGAAAAAACAATCATTTTCAATGTAAATTGAGGTTAAGAGATTTTATTCCAAGCAGTTTTGGACTCTTTCTGTTGTTCCATTCATTGTGAAATTTTCACACAATGTAAAAGGACAGTTGGTGTTTTCAAATACTGTCCAAAAAATGAAAAAAAAAAATGGAGATATACAGTTCTGTCTGCTTAAATTTGTTTTTACACTTTGTAATCCCTCCATATCCCTATATACTTTCACAAGCAATTAGTCACTATGTTGTTTTATTGTATGATCACACATAGAATTGGTAGTTTTGGGACATCAATATTTGCCCCCAAAGTTTTTTTTTACTTTGTTAAGTCTGCAGCTAAGCTTGACTTCTTACTTTCTCCCACACTAAGGAGAGGAGTCATGCTGACAGCTCCAGTGGCACAATTTTATTGAGAGGCATTTAGCTTTTGCTGTTTTTTATGGTCACAACACCGTTTTTTTACCATAACTGTATCATTCTGCTGAGCACTGTTTGCTATGAATTGACTTGCTTTACGCTGCAGCTAATTACTGAGTTTCAACTTTAGCATATACAAAAACAGAAAATGGACACATTAGATAATATTTGTCTGTTTGGTTAGATTCTGAAGAAGAGAGTGACCGCCGGACTAAATTTTAACCTGTGGTTGTGAGCTTTCCGGTCGGTAGCTGTGATGGAACAACTAAACAAACTGGAATCAGCAAATTACAGATCAGCAAACAAGATGGGCTGTGAAATACTTGGAACAACGTATTGAAAAAGCTGAGCTGAACCTGATATTGTGACAGTTTTATGGCTCTATCTATAAAGCAAAGAGTAATACTTTTGTGGCGGAAGGAATTGCCACTATTACAGCACATTTAATACAATGGGGTTTCTGTGCTTTATGTTTTTCTTTATTCTGCAGAACTGTTGGATAAAAGCAACAGTGTTATCATGAATAAGATCGTCACTGTGATGATTTAAAATATTTGCTTTCAGCCTGTGACGGAATCTCAGCTGTGATGTTATTCGTGATAACACAGAAACCTTGAGCAAAGAAGCCCTAAATGTTGTAGTACCAGAAAAAGTATTCTTTTACTACAGGGATAGAGCCATAAAACCGTCATAACATCAGCTTTAGCTTAACTTTTTTATACCTCCCAGACTAACCTGCATATCATTTTGTCCCAGCCAGTCTGTAAAGCATTTCACAGCTCATGCGCTGCATTAGTTTCTGGCTAATTCCAGCTTGTGATGTTATTTGCGATAACACAGTCCTTGTTCTATTGCTTAAGTAAACAGCTTGACTCTAAAAGGTTACCTAAAAGCAGTGATTTTCATGGATGCATTTGACTGAAATAAAGAACAAGACTGAGCTTTTCTGAAGAAGCTGAAGAAACTGCTCCCTCAAAATGTTTATTTGCATTGGCTGTAACTCAACAGTCAAAATAGAAATGTCACAGAGGCTTTAACTGGCAAGATTAAAAACATACGTGGACAAATAAAGAAGACCAATTATTACTGAATTAAAATAGATACAAAGAGTTGGGGCACAGTTTAGTATTTCGTCACTGTCAGATCATAATATGTATCTCCAGAAAAGTAATTTTACAGTAGAAATAAAAACACAACTTTCAATAGGCCCTTTTCGTGTTTCCACATTCCACAATGATGGTCGAGTAGAGCTTGTACAGCTTACCCAGTGTTGGAGCTCAAAACAAAAACATTCTTGCCTTAGTATCGATGGCTTCTCAACCTACGATGAGCAGAGACAAAAATGAGTTTATGTATTTAGGAGAGAGGAAGGAATAAACTTTGTCATGTGGAGGGAAAGTACCTCTGTGTCAGCATTTCAACATTACACCGCAGGCACTCTGCACTTTAGAATTGGTGCTGTTCACAGATGCTTTCAGTGGAACAGTTTTCAGATTTTGTCTCTAAAACTGTCAGCATTTGAGAAAGTGAGTGTTCAGCAAGGAGAGTATGTGTTTACCCCCCCACTAATGTGCGTGTGTTTACTTTTTTGCCCACCTATTGTTAGCAAACTGTTTCAACATT